TGAGAAACACCTGAGTGCAGCACTGCAGGTGACCAGGAAAAAGGATTGCAGGTTCCCAAAAGGGAAGGAAATCCCATTAAATTGGATGAAATCCCATTGTTTTTTGAAGTAGGAATGCTCAGTGTCATTGTGGATAATATTGGGGTTATTATATTAACGCTTTTATTTCCCCTGGAACAAACAGAGATGTACCTAAAGTAGAGTCACTAGAGAAATAACAAATATTCTGGAAAAATAATAAATATTCTGGAGAACTAATAAATATTCTGAGAAGTAACAGATATTCTGGAGAATTGACAAATACTGTGCAGAAATAACAGATATTCTGTAGAAATAACAGATACTCAGGAGAAATAACAAGTATTCTGGATAAATAAAAAATATTCTGGAGAAGTAACAAATATTGTGTAGAAATAACAAATATTGTGGAGAAATAACAGGTATTGTGGAGAAATAAAAAAATATTTTAGAGAAATAGCAAATGTTCTGGAGAAATAACAGATATTCTGTAGAGATAGCAAATATTCTGTAGAAATAACAAATATTGTGGAAGAGTAACAAATATTGTGGAGAAATCACAAATATTGTGGAGAAATAACAAATATTGTGGAGAAATAATAAATATTCTGGAGAAGTAACAGATATTGTGGAGAAATAAAAGAAATTCTGGAGAAGTGACAAATATTGTGGAGCAATAACCAATATTTGTAGAAATAAAAATATTCAGGAGAATTAACAAATATTCTGAAGAATTAAAAAATATTGTGGAGAAGCAACAAATATTCAGGAGAAATAACAAATATTCTCAAGAAATAACATATCCAGGAGAAGAATAACATTCTGGAGAAATAAATATTAWGGAGAAGTAACAAATATTCTATATTGTACCAAGTGTTGGGGGCCCAGTGAAGCAGCAGAACTCGGTATCAGTTTTATTCACTGCAATTGCTGCAATCAATAACTGAGCACTATTCACCCGTCCATTCAGAATGGAAATGTTCCTGTTTTTATCTGCCTCTCTGCCATCCTCCTTCCCTGGCAGAAATTCTCCCTTATTCTCTGTGTCAGCCACACAACTTTTTGTAAAAGGTGCCAATAGTTCACCAGGTGTTATTTAAAGTTTTTCACGGATCAGCAAAGAGCCAGCCCTCCCCAGCAGAACCCACAAAGCTGCAGTTTTATTCTGCATTTCCATGTTTTAATTCCACTCACGGACACGGTGTGAGCCATCAGGGCAGGCAGGGGAGGGAACCTTCAGCTGAGACAGGAGAACAGCTGCTCCAGATGTTCAGCAGAGCMCTGGGCAGCCTCAAAAGAGAAACCCTTTCCTTATCACTCCCCGTGCTTCATATTCCTGATCCCAAAGCGGCATGAGCTGAACCCGGGATTTTCTGTGATCTCGAGGGCATTGCAAGAGTTCTGTTCTCTGCTTTATTTTGTCATGTAACCCTCCCCATTCCCACAGCTCCTGAGTGCCTCAAACTTATTTTCCCCCTCCCAAGAGATATAATTCGAATTCTTCTAAATTTCTTTTTGAATTCTCCCAACCAATCCACAGCGCAAAGTGATGGAAATCCCTGTCCTTCCCCACTGCAGAAATTCTCTGGATTTTCTAAGTCTGGAATTGTAAATCAATTACTTTAAATTTAATAGAATTAATTTAATATAATTAATTTAAGCTTCATGGTGCTTCAAGGTTTAGAAGTTCCACTGCAATTTAAGTGTTTTTGAGCAATGCTCAGACTTCAATACAAGTTTATTTCCTCTCGCAAGTGATATAATTTGAATCCTTCTAAATTTCTTCTTGAATTCTCCCAACCAATACACAGTGCAAAGTGATGGAAATCCCTGTCCTTCCCCACTGCAGAAATTCTCTGGATTTTCTAAGTCTGGTTAGCAGAGCGTCATCCTGCAATTATAAATCTATTCATTTAAAATTAATGAATTTAAGCTTCGTGGTACTCCAAGGTTTAGATGTTCTACTGCAATTTAAGTGTTTTTGAACAATGCTCACACTTCAATACAAGTTTATTTCCCCTCCCAAGCGATATAATTCGAATTCTTCTAAATTTCCTTTTGAATTCTCCCAACCAATCCACAGTGCAAAGTGATGGAAATCCCTGTCCTTTCCCACTGCAGAAATTCTCTGGATTTTCTAAGTCTGGTTAGCAGAGAGTCATCCTGCAATTATAAATCTATTTATTTAAAATTAATTCATGGTGCTCCAAGGTTTAGATGTTCTACTGCAATTTAATTGTTTTTGAACAATGCTCAGACTTCAATACAAGTTTATTTCCCCTCCCCCCACAAGAGATCTCATTTGAATCCTTCTAAATTTCCTTTTGAGTTTTTCTAACCAATGCACAGTGTAAAGCAATGGAAATCCCTCCTGTTGACCCCATAAGCCCCAAGGCAGCCTGGTGCAGGGTGAGGATGGCATTTCCCAGCTCTGACATTCCCGTTTTGCTCCGCAGGTGATGGAYTGCGCCATGCCCCTGATCGGGGAGCACCAGGCCGAGGACAGGCAGCACATCACCGAGCTGGTCGTAAGCAAAATGAACCAAATGTTGTCCAAAACTCCTATTCCATCTCCTCAGAGACCCACTGCCACTCARCAGCCTCAGGTAGGACCTTGGGGAGGGTGAAAACAGAGCATCTTTTTAAAGGATTTTAAGCTCAAAACGTTCCTCAAGGAATTTGGATACCTGGAACTCCAACGATTCAAGAATTTACATTTTACATTTGCTTTATACTTCTTCTTGTTTGTTTTTCTTTTAAATAACACTTCACCAGTTTGTTATATTTCAATGAGATTTTCTCCAGAAGTGCAACTGTTGCTGTGTTTCTACCAGGAAATGATACCGGTGGGTTCTGTGAATTTCCAGGCTTTGCACGGTTTCCTTTCAGTTCCATATGTAAAATATCATGGAAATAATGAGAAGAGTCATGGAAATAATGGGAAGAGTCATAGTTCTGTCATAGAAAACTCTGCTCTGAGGATTTCAGAAGGAATATTGACAGTAATTCTTATTCTTGTGAGGAATTAATACATTTTGGGTTTTGTTTTTTTTTTTTTTTAATGTGCTGCAATTCACAAAAATACCTTGTAAATGTAGGAAACTCCTGAAATTTGTTCAGTGTGGTAAAAACCTGGTCAAAGTTATAAATATTTGCATTTCGCTCATTTTATTTTTATTTTATTTTCATCTTGCATGGTTTGACAGTTGGAGTATGGGGATGCAGAGCTCTGGCCCTGACCTTTCAGGGATTCCCTTTGTGTTCCCATTTCCAGTTGTGGGGTTTATTTCACTGATCCTTTTAAAAACTGCAGGGAGGGTGGCATTTTTGTCAAAGGCTCTGAGGACAGAAAGGTTTTGTCCCTGCATTGGAGAGGTGTGTGTTTGCTGGGTGGAATTTGATGGATGAGGAATTGGGTGTTTGGATGGAAACCAGTGACAAGAGGTGACCTGGGGGGTCTGTGTTTAACCGGGATTTTTAAACCCCCTTTTTCACCAAAACTGTGTGCCAGGGTGATGGTTTTAAACTGAAAGAGAGACAAATTTCTTCATTAATTTCAATTTAAATTTATTTCTGTTTTTTTAAATCCTTTACAATGAGGGGGGTGAGGAGCTAGAACAGGTTGTGCAGAGATGTGAAAAAATTACAATTAAAGCCACCCTGACCATGATCTGTCGAGGATTGTCTGCTGCCCTGGACCTCTGCACCCCAGGGGCAGCACCAGGATCAGCCAAACTGAAATACAGGAATTACCAAACCTAAACCAAGCAGCTATTTTTGCTATATTTTGCTATATTTTGCTGTATTTTGCTGTATTTTGAGAACAATTTTGTGGCGCGCCTCAGACAGACCAGCTCTTGAGGCAGAGTGACTAATTTGTTCTTCAAATACCTCATCGTGCTCRAAGATATAAAAATACCCTGTCCCACATGAAAAAAAAAAGAAGTGGTGTGGCTTCTATTTATACAGCAGCCACTTGAAACTGAGCACAAAATGGGTTTGGCCACAGARCCACTCACAATGGGGACGTTTCCATTCAACGTGACTCGGGTTTGTTGTAAAGGCACTGAAAAAGAGAGGCAAGAAGGGGAAAAAATAAATCACCTCATGCCAAAATAATTCCTTTCAGGAGGAGGAGATTATCTGTGTGTTGGAATGGAGCAGAGAGTCAAATTTAGAGTTGCCCACTCATTACAAGTCAACATAAATCAAAATCTAAAGCAGTAACTGATGTCACRTTGATAGATGCACATTTGATATATCATGTTTTGGGGAAAAAAGTGAGGTTTTGGGAAGGCTTTCCTGGATTTTATAGTTCTCCACTCAGTACATACCAACATAAATCAAAATTTAAAGCAGTAACAGGCATCACTGTCACGYTGATRGATGCACATTTGATATATCACATTTTTGGGGGAATAAAGGGAGGTTTTGGGTGGGCTTTCCTGGATTTCAGAGCAGCCAAGGGAGAAGGGATGTTTACTGTTACTGGTGTCATCAGAAGGAGCTGAGTGTTTCTTGGATGYCAATAAAGTTTCCAAGCATTTCCAAAGCAAAGCTGCCCACCTGAGTCCGGAATAAAAATAGGATATAAAGAACATTTTTAGCAGGTTCCTAAATTCCTTCATTCCTGTCACTCAGAATGTCCATGGAAAAGSGTTTTTGCTCTTAAAGCAGACTTTGGGATGAAATTAATTATTCCAGGATTCTGAAGGGTCTGGGAAGAGTCCTGAGCCTAAAAGAGGGAAAAATGGTAATTTATGTATTACCACAGAAAAAYATCCCAAATTCAGTTTTGGTGAGAATGAAATATAAAATCAATGCCTCGACTGAACAGGACTCCTAGGTGTTGAAGTCTAAACAAACTGAAAACACATTGTTTTGGCCTAACTCTCAAAGTAAATCTCAAAAATAAAAGAGAAAAAAATGTATTTAAATGAGTAAASAAGACACAGAATGAAAATAATTTCAAACAAGGTGAATTCTATTTGTAAAAAAGAATTCTCTTGAATTACCATCATAATCATCATGATAAATCAATRTCATCACGATCATGTAATCAGGGATTTTATCCTGGGTAGCTGATGGATCTCTGGTAGGTTCCTATTTATTTCAGRTTATTCCTGAAGGATTCAGCCCTTACTGATGGCAGCAGGATGCTATTCAACATTAAACTTCTTTTCCTTAAATTACAGATTTCCATGAATTTCCTTAAATTTTCTTAAATTTCCTTCAATTTCCTTCAATTTCCTTAAATTACAGAT